TCTCTCTCTCTCTCTCTCTCTCTCTCTCTCTCTCTGTGTGTGTGTGTGTGTGTGTGTGTGTGTGTTTGTGTGTGTGTGCCGAGGCGGATTCCCCCTGCGTGCCAAGCTTTGCTGAAACGTCAGTGCAGCGCTTTTTTGTTTCTCTTCTTTTGGCTGGTGCTGCCAGCCATTGTGGACTGCACCGCTGGTGCTGCCAGCTGTTTCTCTTCTTTTGGCTGGTGCTGCCAGCTGATGTTGCAGTGGTAGAGCTTTGCTGAAACATCAGTGCTCTGAGCCTCGGACCCAAAAGGTCGCCGCAAAAAACATGCTGATGCGTGATTGATATAAGCACATGGATGGCGGAAACAACAGATTGTCTGTACGCCGCATCTCCTCCGGGTTCATCGTGAGCAATTTGTGTAATGGGGACTAAAATGCACGAAGGCTAGCCAACCGACTAAACCTTGCCGACAATGTGAAAACAGATGCCTTCATATGCGCTGAGATTCACAGCTGAAGGCATCCGTTTAGTACGCCGAAGTGAAAACACACAAGTAAAGCAGTCTGGGCACGACTGGTGTGAAAAGCAGGGGGGCGGACAATGTGAATCTTGCGGCATTACTTTGTGCTTAACTCTTAGGCCACAATCACTCTACCCTCTTCACCGGAATTGAACTCCCATTCATTCTAGCTGCATTTGGGGCAATTTTCAGTCTAGATACAGCGATAATGACCGGGTGTTCTATCCGGGTGAAGATGGTAGCACTTTCCTAAGCGTATCTGACTGCAATTACTGCCAGACCTGAATGCATCTACAGTGTACGAGCGTAGCAACCAGCCAGGAGAAGTCGCCTGGATGATGGCGTCTGTGTGGATGCTGCTGCCTGCGGACGATCTCACAGATGTTGAAGAGCTGACTACCTTCTTCCCCCGAATACAACGTACGGTCATTCTAACTGTATCTAGACTGAAAGATGCGTCAAATACAGCTATAATGGCCGTACGTTGTATTCGTGGGAAGAAGGTAGTAAGATCGACCTTGCTGGCAACCGTGCTGGGTTGGGCCAAATGTCTCTACCACTGCAACCGTGACCCGATGCATCTACCGGTACGGCTTAAGTTTTGAACACCGGGTCACGGTTGCAGTGGTAGAGGCATCTGGCCGTTATGGCCGAGGTCACCGGTTTGATTCCGTCTGGCTGCATATCGATCAGGGCCCAACAAAAAAACTATCTAGTGGATGCATCCCATCTGGCTGCAGATCGATGAGGGCCCAACAACAAACTATCTAGTGGATGCATCTGATAGTTATTACGTCCGGAGCTTAGGCACCCGGCTGTTATGGCCGAGGTCACCGGTTCGATTCCGTCTGGCTGCGGATCAATCCGGTTCGATTCTGTCTGGCTGCGGATCAATCCGGGGCCAACAAAAGACTATTTACTGGATGAATCTGACAGTAATCACGTCCAGAGCTTAGTCAAAGAACTCCTAGTGTGAGCACACCCGTACTTTTGACGGTTCAGCCTTCACCCTGAAAGGAGGGTGGATCGTTTTCAAGCCTGCGGCAATGCCGAACGTTATTGCGTCCTGTTACACATGTCTGGTACAGAACTTACAGCTTTTTCTTGTTTTCCTTTTTGGGGTGGGGACTCTCGGGAGTAGTTGCAGCATTCACTTTCACGGTTTTTTTTTTTCTTTTCTTTTTTTTTATGTGTGTGTGTGTGTGTGTGTTGGGGGG